GTCATAGGCTCCTTGGGTGCAATCCCAAAACAACTGGAGCACCACTTGAACACCATTGGCATTGACAAATTTGCTATTAGTCAATTGCAAAAGGCGGCCTTATTAGGAACTGCTTCCATCCTGCGACGATACCTGTAATACCATCAAACATCCACATCTGCCTATCCCAGGTCCTGGGTAAGGACTCGATAGGTAGACAAAATGCCAAATCCAGTCTGAACATCTGGCTGACTGTGCGATGATCGATAATAATAATAATAATAATAATAATAATAATAATAATAATAGTAAAGTTGGAAGGGACCTTGGAGGTCATCTAGTCCAACCCCCTGCTCAGGCAGGAAACCCTACACCATTTCGGACAAATGGCTGTCCAGTCTCTTCTTAAAAACTTCCAGTGTTGGAGCATTTAGTGCTTCTGGAGGCAAGCTGTTCCACTGATTAATTGTTCTCACTGTCAGGAAGTTTCTCCTTAGTTCTAGGTTGCTTCTCTCCTTGATTAGTTTCCACCCGTTGCTTCTTGTCCTGCCTTCAGGTGCTTTGGAAAATAGCTTAATTCCCTCTTCTTTATGGCAGCCCCTGAGATATTGGAATACTGCTATCATGTCCCCCCTTGTCCTTCTCTTCGTTAAACTAGACATACCCAATTCTCGCAACCGTTCCTTATATGTTTTAGCCTCCAGTCCCCTAATCATCTTTGTTGCTCTTCTCTGTACTCTTTCTAGAGTCTCAACATCTTTTTTACATCGTGGTGTAATCATGCAGTTAAAATGGCCTTTCCAAAATGGTCATGTTAAGATTTGCAGTAGAGTATCCTGGGAAGTGGAAATGCTCTACTTTATCGTTGTTCTGAGTGCTGATGTCAAAGTTGCATCATTAATTCTTCAGCACAAAATTTGTCTTATTAGAATCCAGAGGGGGAAAACCTGGAATGGAAAATGGTGGCTTATATTTCATAGGAGGAAGGGCATGTGAAGGCGTTTATAATCACATGGGTGTATTTGTTGAGGCTTATGATGATGCCATTCACTTAGGTGTGAGGGCAAAGGAGACAGCTGCCTTCATTGCATGATCTGACTCCCATATTAGCATTAGTGTCCTGTTGTTTCTTTTTGCTTGTGAAAATCTGTTTTGGATTGGGAAGTTGTTTGAACGCAGATGTGGACCTGCTAGCTAATGCCTGGCAAAGAACAGTATAATTTACATTTGCATAACTACCCTGTCTTTCCTCCATCCTGATCTCATCCCAATCAAAATCTTGTATCAGTTTAGCCACTCTAATGAACTACAGTTCACAAAAGCTTAGGCCTTTTAATAAAAGTAAAGTGCTTCTCAACTCCTTTTGATTTTGGGCTCTGTAGAATAATTAGAGTTCTCATTCTACAATGGAGCATATACAGAAAAAGCTGGTTTTTTCCTCCTCCCTTATATGTAGATTTTTCTTCATATTTGCATGAAACATATGAGCAACAGTTGCAGGAATTGGGTATGTCTAGTTTAGTGAAGGACCAAGGATGATATGATAGCAGTGTTAATATCTAAGAGGTTGCCACAAAGAAGAGGGGTCACTAATTTCAAAAGCACTTGAAGCAATGGATGGAAACTAATCAAGGAGAAAAGCAACACAAAACTAAGGAGAAATTTCCTAACAAAATAATTAACCAGCAGAACAGCTTGGAGAGACTTTTAAGAAGAAACTGGAAAGCCACTCGTTATTCTGTTATCCTGTTAAGTCATTGAACAATAAGCTACAAATCCATGGAGCCTTGAATCCATTGCTTAGTCTTTGCATTTTATAGAAGTGTTAAAGGGAGTTTAATTGATATAAAATGTTTTGAATTGTTAATGATTGGAGCAGCCCCTGGATCTGATGGTTGGCATTTCACTGATGATTAGTTTTGTTTTGTAAGAAGAGAAAATTACAGGAAATAGATATGAGCAAAAAAGCAAAATGTATATTAGATATAAAATATGAATAGCATTGCTAAAATAATCACTAATTCTGATAGAAGCAGTTTCCAAAGATGCCTTGTTTTTCTTTCCAAAGATGCCTTGTTTTTCTTATTTGAGACAAATGAAAGATAGTTTTGCCTAAACAAAACTGGCAGAGTGATAATGTTAACCTTAAGGAAAATATTAATAGTAACACCTTCAAGCCAAATTCTCTAGCCTAGGTTCTTATTCTAAGATAGGAACAAATCACAGTTCACAAACTTGCCTTGATGAAGCTCCTTAACATTGGCTGAGTGAGAAAGCAGGAACCCGAAAGGAGTAAAATACAAAACAAAGCTCAAAAGTGTTATTTATTCCAAGCCACCTATTTTCAGAGCAACCTGTGTCAGCTATATTGGAAGATTGTTTCATTAGTTTGCTTCTCCAAGATAGAAAAGTCTTATACTCTCTGTTATTATGGCTGTCTCTGTAGTATCTGACAACAACAGATTTTTTCCTTTGTGACAACTACCTCTTATTTCTCAAGGAGTAAAAAAGAAAATACTTCAGATGGAAAGGAAATTACCGGTGATTTTATTGGCACCTGTTAGTATTTTTGTAACTGGGATTATTCAAGGCTGCCAGGAAGGATTAAGTCCATCAACATGATGAAAATTAGGGAAAACAAGATCCCTGGCTCTCAGTAACATCTGTCAAGGCATTTTTCATTCCTGTTCACATGATGTGGCATGCAGAATGAATGGGCCAACATAGGGAATTAGAAGTATATTCACTGCCCTCACTGTCTGCTGTAGATTTTTTGAACAAATCCTGTCATGTTGCACATGAGTGAGCTCAGCCTGCAAATTTTATAGAATGTACATAAGCCAGAGAAGGACAGTGGGTGTGAACCTGACTCAACCCCTGTGCATTGAACTCACATTCCTTGCTGTGTGAAGAGGACTTTGGCAAGCCATCATCTATAGAGATTAAGATGTTTTTATAAAGCTCAGGCATTTTGGATTAAATCCTAATTAAATAAATACTATCTATCTTGCAAGTTTTTTCATTGTAGGACAGCCATTAAAGGTAGAACATGGATCAGCCACAGCTCACTGCCCAATTTACATTTAACAGTTGGTATCTGCAGCTTGATGAGACATTTACAAAGAAAAGGAGCTTGGTCTCACCTTGCAAGATGCTTCCTAAATTGCTTCAAAACTGCTTAGACATATATATCCAATGTGATTTTTTTTCTTGTGCTGTAAATATGTATACATATGGGTGGACTTTGTGAGGGAGAGACTGTAACTCTGAAGTTGGCCTACTACTTTCTCCTACAAAGTTGTAGAACACTTTGTTTATGTTTCTATATATGTTTGTTTGAAGGTGGGGAAAGAGATTAACTATGTAACTATGTAAAAGCATATTAGCGAACATGCTATTTTTATATTATAGGCTGTCTTGTCAACAATCTGGAACATAGTGGTGGGTCAGCATGTTAAGCATTCCAAGGCCCAGCAAGGTTGTGAAGGCCTTAGTTTCAATGCCAAATCCTTGAGGGAAAATAGAGATTGCTCAGCAACCTTAGGGACCTTACATTATTTTGAAAGGTTGGACATCATGATCCTGAAAATGCACTGAAGTGTGAACATGTGGTTCTTATTTGCAGGAATGTACCCTGTATTTTTATATATGCTTGTCTCTTAAGAAGCTGCTTAATAATATAACAGCAGAGTAATTAATTCAATGCTGGCCACATACTTTATATGGCACAGCTTTAAAAAAATACTTTCCTTTTTCAAAAAGATGGTTAAAGTAGGTAACTAAAAATCCAGTTCTAATATTACAAAAGTCTAAAAATTGAAAATATATTCATCAATTTGAGCAATGACCAAAGGGTTATTTTTTAATAGCAGTGATACATGTATACTTATTTCTGTTTCAGTATGCTGCATACTTTTCTATCAAAAAGTTAAACATACCTCTAGAAATTATTTATCATAGTCATAGTCATTTTTTTATTATTACGTTCTCTATACATTACTATATTCTTACTACATTTTTAATCTCACTTCTTTTGTAACTGAGTTGAGCAATTCTTACAGCTTTACAAGAATTGTATTTCTTATTTCAATTTGTATAGCTACTCATTTTAAATATATAACTATATAACTATAAATTTATAAATTTATATAAATTCCTATATATAACTATGTAACTATAAATATATAACTGTGGGTATATCACAATTAAAACATATATTTAAAATAAACTCCATAAATATAATATAAAACAGTATTTTAAAAGAAATAAAAAACTAGACAACAGTTAAAACAGCTTTCCATACTTTGCAAGGTTTTCCAAAATGATGATTAAAAGAAGACTCTGTTCTACATTTTTGTACATTTTAAAAGAATTATTATGAACATACAAAGCCACTGCATTACAAAAAACAAATAGCATGTGTTACAATTATGGAGAGGAACATCTGCTCATTTCATAGATTTATTTCCAACATAATGCTTTGGATTTTTTTTTCTTTTTCATCTTGTGCCCCCAGCCCTGTTTCATATAACTGTAAAGATCTAGCTTTTTTTCCTGTGTACTGGGGCATTATATGAGCCTGTTCTGTTCTGAGCTTATGGGTTTTTTTATTGCAAGCTTCAACAGTATATTGATTATGTTTTTGACTCTTCAAGGTTTTTTGTTTTGGTCTTTTAATATATTTTTAAACATTTCTTTTGTACTCTGTCCAGAATCATCAAAATGTATAGAATGCCATCAGAGGAATAGTATTCTATATTTTATAAGTAAATATATAAACAAGCAAGCAGAATTTGTAGTATACAGTATGTAACTACCTTTAATGCAATAGTGTCTTTTGGTTTTTCAGCGTTCCTTTACCCATTTTCCTCTACTCCTCTCACACACACCCAAAAAAAGAGAAGGTGGAACCTAAGACAGACAAAGCTTGCTCTTAATTTCATCAATCACATTTTCCAAGAGAAACCCAGAAGGGAAGAGAGAAAAAACACATCCACGGCCTCTACTGACCCAGCAACACTATGGATCTTCAGACCCAACTAGAGAACATGACTGAGAAGAACTGGAGCAAAGAGAAGATGGAACTGTTGGAACGTTTTGACAGTGAAAGGAAAGAATGGGAATGCCAGTGGAAGGTCATGCAGAAGAAAATAGAAGAGGTATTGTGGATTATTTTCAACATCAACTACAATGTCCGAACTAATGTGGTGATATTGTTTTTTAAAAAGTGCCAGACTTTAGATTGCAATGGATTGATTAGCGCCATCAGCCCACCGTTTTCTAAAGTTGGGTGATGATACTGTGATATTAGCCTTCCAATATTTTCTAGGCTCCGGTTTTTCAAAATTCTCAGCCATGCTAATTGTTTCGTTTAGGAATTATAGGCAGGATAATGAAGTTCAGGACATATATTAACTGTATCTTACTTTGAAGCATTCCTGACAAATGGTTGAAGCTACTGTAGTGAAAACCACCATGGAACAATTTTTTCTAATCACTCTGGGCTGTTTGTTCCATTACTAACTTGACATTACAATTTAAAAGGTTTCACTGGCTATTTTTCTATGTAAAACTATTTGTTGCAACAGAACTAATACCCAACATTCCTTATATTATTTTAACCAGACATGATTTTGTATTTTATGTCAACCACATTCTTTAAAACTGAAGAACAGATAAACACAGACAAAGCAGTGGATGCATTTAAAGTAACTTTTATTTATGTAGATAATGATCAGAAATTACAAAATTGTTGACAGTTTCTTGGCATGCATTTTGCATGTCTTTTGCTGATAACATTTTAATTATTTTCTTCCCACATATTCATTGTTTTATCACGAAGCAGACTTCAAAGTTAATGCTTGGGTTTAGGTATTAAGCAGAAGCAGTAGTTTGGTTAGCTTAGGATTTATTCATGTGAAGAATGACCTATTAAAATGTATGGAACCTGATAATGATGTATAGAGACCAGTTTGGTGTAGTGGTTAAGGCACTGCTACAAAAGGGTACAAACCAGGAAACCATGAATTCTAGCCCCACCTTAGATATGAAGCCAGCTAGATTATCTTGGATTAGTTACATTTCTATCAGTCTAGAACAGGGATGTCAAACTGGTGGCTCATGGGCTAGATGTGTCACTCCGGTGCCGCAAAGGCAAAAAACATCACGATATGTCACATGGCACAATCGAGTTTGACACCTATGGTCTAGGTCAAACCACTTTTGAAATCTGAAAACTCCAGGGACTAGTAGAGGCAATCACCAATAATCTGTATTTGAAGAAATCAGGAGTCAACAACTTGTAGGGACCAAAATAAAAATATGCTTAATTTCAGACCTATTGATTTTAATAGGTATAATTTAAATCCTGAGTCCAATATCACTAATTTTTATGGACATTGCTTCCAAAGATAAAGAATGACCAATTTTGTTTACTAACATGTAAAAAAATGCCTAGCCTGTAGAAGTAAGTGACATAAGATCACAACATTTTTATTCTGGTCTACTCTGCTATAATTAATAATGATATTCAGAGTCATTATACTAGCCAACATGTCATAGCCAAGATATAAATCCGCCTAGAGTTACATACAAGTAAGATAGGCAGTTATGTAAAACAAACAAATCATATTTATATCACTTAGCACACAGTTTTACCAACCTACTGTTTTCCAGGTTTCTGTTCCACTCAGGGCCCAGAGCAAGGATATTTTTCTTATGCTTTCATAATAAAGCACCCTGTTGAAATAATGGCTTTATCATCCCAATGTTAAATTAGCTGCCTAGAAATTTAGAGGTGCATTGACCCCTAGTCCTCTCCCTTACTGGGTTTCCTAAGAATGTCCTAGATTCACAATAAAATTTCTTACTGTAATATTTTTAGGGCTTTATCCATTGGGCATTTTGTTCACCATTTTATGAATTGCCACAGTTTTTATAATGGATGTTATTTATTTCTCCAAATCATTGTGTACCATTTCAGCACATTTATTTCCATTTGTAGCCACTGTAATTATTCCATCTTAACTGAGAAACACTTCAGTTTGAGAGCTGATCTGATATAGTATTAGGGGTATAGTTGGAGTCTGGTCAGAACTCCTTGCAGTTGGCAGAAAGCATACATTCCAATGCTATATGTTTGAAACACAACCAAAACTTTAAAAGAGTTGTGGGATTTTCTTTGTAGTCTGTGACAAGGAAATGTGCTGCAGCCCTTTGTGTAATAGCTATTTCTTAAAAGAAAAGAAAAATTTCCAGATAGTTCAGCCAATTAATGATTTCAGATCCAGAAAACTGATGATATGCTTTGTTTAATCAGATGTTCGTTTGATCGTATGGATGATCACATATCTGTGAGAGACCTTTTGTTTCTTTTCCAGCTTTACCAGGAGGTAAAATTAAGGCGTGAAAGCAATACGAGTATCTCTGAGAATAAGCCCATTCATCACAAAGCAGAGCAACAGTCTTGCTCCCCCATCTTAGAATGGAGTGACCCACCAGGATTGTACAGCTGTTCGCCAGATAAAGAGAGTTTGCAAAGCAAAGCTGAAAAGGAAAGCAAGTGTGTGAAAAACAAAAGGAGAAACCATGTTTTTGCAAAAGATCATCTCACTTTTGAAAATGCTAAGGAGTCCGAAGACTGTGTAGACTTGAAAACCACCAAGAATTACACTCAGGATCTCAATATTGTGAGTAAATGCATATTGTGAGTGGTCTCACTGAGGTTGAATGTTAACCAAGTTTCAACCTGTAACACTGCAATAGTTTTATTATTGACTATTTAAATATGGTTAGCTCATCTTTTCTAAACCAGCCAGAAAGTAACAAGAGCAGGTCAGCTGACTGTCCTAACTGGAACTAAATCAATATGAAAACATGCTAACTATAGCTGCATGAATATGAATATAGGTCTTCAGTACCAAAAATATCTTCCCTAAATACAGAGGTTTCTGTAACTTGTCAATCAACAATTTTCTACTCCCTTCAGGTTGTTGTTATTTTAATAGAACCTCTTAAGCAGTTGGTGGCATAATACAGTTATTATGTTAGGTCTGTGCAAAGCAGGGTTTGTAAATTTGGAACCAATCTTTTAAATGCTTCTCCATCTTTTACTTGAACCTCTGAAAAACATTCTCTTCACGGCATTAACCATAGTTTTTTATTACATGCCTAGTTTCTAATTTTTCTCATATAATAGTATTGTTTCCCATTTCTCTGATGATTTGCAAGAAAATCAACACATTCACTTTAAAAAAAAATTAAATTTGTTTAAGAAAAAGAAATACGAATTGGGAATTGAAATTGCAAAAGAATTCCCATCCCCCCCCAGTCTTTAACATTGCTAAGGTAAGCCAGACTCCCTCACTGTGATGCTACAAAACTCCAGTTTAGAAACTCTGATTGTAGGAGGATCTGGACTTTCAATAATCACAGTTATGTCAATGATTATGCAGTAAAAAGCCAGCTAATGCTTAAAAGAAAAAAAAAAGTCTTAAAGAAATGGAAAAAGAGGGTATCTCCTCGTGAAGACTTTGTGGCACCTCAAAACTGACTCTATATATGTCTGATCAGATGATATTCATTTGATTCTCGTGCTGAATCTTCTTTTTCTTTTCTGGCTTTGTGCCAGTTTATTTAAAACTGGAACAAAACTGGTATTCCCTTTTGCGGTAATAGAGCTTGTAGGCTATCCATTTCCTCATAAGCAGAAATCCTTGCCTCCCTTTGTTTCCTAGTTCCTCTGGTTCAAGTGAGCAATTTTATTTTAAAGTAGCTGTTTAGGGGGAAAATACCCTGTGCTTGAATGGTATTAAAGAGCAGAGGAGGAAGAAAGTGACAGAATGGGGGGGGGGGAGTGAAGATCTACAAATATTGAAAACAGTCTGTTTCAGTCCTAGTTGCATTTTAAAATGGCTCTAGTAGGATTATTTAAGTGTTCACAAAGCCATTGTTCAGCATCTATTTCTCTCTCTGCATCCATTGTGAAAGAATTGGGAAATACTTTAGTTGCCAAACCATCTATAGAGATTATAACTTCAGATGCTTTTCTATGCAATTCCTTGATAATAGCAAGGTGATTTGAGTCTGGCTTTTTTTTAAGAAGCCATCATCCCTCATATAACTTCCTATTATTGCAAATTGTGGGAGGGCCAACCATTTGTTTTATTTTATGTTTTGCATAGACGAAGGGAAAGGAGGTTTTTTTTATATATATTTTCAGGACTAGGCAGTTGAGGATTAGGAAAACTTTTTTTTTTTTTGCATTGTTCAGTTGGTGCTAGAGAATTGTGCTGAGTAGTTCATGAAGTTCTCAAAATATTCCCTTTGCTTTAAAACCAATAGCAGTGGGAGGAGTAAACACAGTGAAAGTGTGGGTCTTCCCTGTCATATGGTCTTATGCTGTGTTGGGACCACAATTTCTAGAATTTCTAGCTAGGAGTTAGCACATGATTTACAAACTGCAGAATGTAATTTACTAGCTTGTTTACTCATATAGGTGGTCTGAAGTCCAGTATATATTTTGAAGTACAATTCCCCAAATCTCTTGCTGTTTGTTTTGCTGTGCTGGTGTCCAAAAATGATAAAAAGCTACCTCTGATGTATTTCAGTAACATAAATCTTGCTTTTCTATAATAAGTACCAAGATAGTTCACAAGAAAATGCCATAGCACAAAATCATAAACATAATCAAGCTATAATTTAGTTGCTTGTCTATATTTCAGAAAAGTTGGGCATTTCCTCTAATAGAGAACATGCACCTTTGAACTTATTATTATTTTACATATTCTATATGGGAACTGGATTGTAGTCAGATATTTCCATTTCTCTTTCTCAAGGCTCTTAAAGAACTTGCCAAAGTAAGTGAAGACTTGTGTACCTACCAAGAAGAAATCCGTAAGAAAGCCAACCATCGAAGGTAAAATTATCAGATTTTTATAAATAAAGATTTGCTTTTCTACTAAAAGAAGATAAAGGTACCCCAAGTCCTACTTTCTGCCTGAAATTAAGTTTCCTGAGTGAAAGCTCTCAGCACTTTTGCAGAAGTATTCATCCCACGATAGATGGATGGATGGATGGATGGATGGATGGATGGATGGATGGATGGATGGATGATGGACAGACATGTGCGGGAAGATAATATATTTTATAATAGTCTAAATTGATTAGAGTGTGATGGAGACCCAACCAGCAGGACTAGTTATGGTTCAAACAGCTGTGCATACTGATCAATTGAGTTATTTAACTAAGGAAGCATAATTAGATAAATGAAAAATAAGCATGGGATGCGAACCCAGCCCCAATGTCCCCTCCAAGAGCATCCTGTTCCTCCGGAAGAAGTGACTGAGAGAAATGCCAAAAGACTTCCTGAATGGCATGAAAGGTACTTTTAGAAATACAGGTCAAATCTTTAATTCTACTTCTTTGATACCGGGAGTGTGTGTGTGTGTGTGTGGAATCTGTGGATTTATGATGCTAACATGTTCTATTATTTTCAAAGGAGCTTGTTTGTTATTTACCTGTTTGTCTTGCCCATACAGGAAGAAAATGTTTCCTTTCCTTGGAGAATCCATTGAAAGTGGGAATGCACTGATTCCTCAAGAGACAAGCCATGCATATCGTAAGAGCCCACAAGCGGCTTCAGCTGCCTCTGAGATGGAAAAGCAAAATAACAGAAAGAATCTGATTAGCACCAACAGGCATTTGAAGGAAATGCCATCAACTGCTTTTTCGGGGGTTGAGGAAACCAGCTTTTTGCCTTGGCAAAGACAAGAAGGGCCTCCTGTTCCCCCCAGAAGCACCTCTCGGCATTTGACGAACTCTCTTGCAGATGTTTCTGAAGCGTTAGCTAAGCATGCTGAGCAAAGAAATAGCTGCAAAACACAGGAACATCCAGATGGAAGTCCATTAATTTATCCAGCTGCTCCACTGACAATGTCCGATGAATGGAAATCTCTTAGTGGGCCTGCAGAAAATCAGGATCAGTACAATGACCATAAACTTCCAGCAGCAATTCTTCACACTGTGTGGTCATGTGATGCAAGCAAAATTGTAAATGGACCAGAAAATGGCTCTTCTAGACAGGCTCTCCAGAAGTGCTCTTCTGATGGATATATGGTGACCCCAAAACAGCATCCCAAATTTCAAAGTAATCTTTATGCTGAGGCATGTGATACACTGGAAGATTCTGGATATGAAACTGGAAAGACTCAACGCAATGAAACACTGGAAGCTAAAATTGATGAGTTCAACCGGACTGTATTTCATACAGATAAAGGTAAAAAATGTCTGCTGCAGAACCAAACAGAGCTGCTTGGTGTTCCTAAAGCCCATTGTGGACTGCAGGACAGTCTGAACAATGGGACACAAAATGAAGAGTCGACCTGTGTTTTGAATTCCAAGCTGTCTTCAAAGAAGGAAGAAAAAGCAAACAGGCCCAGTAAAGATGTCAAAACAAAACGACAACAAAAGCAAATAAATGGAGTTTTAAGTGGCTACCAGCACATGCTTCATGAACATGACTGGAAGCCAAGTAATTTGTCTGGTCGTCCACGATCAGCTGATTCAAGGTCCAATTATGGTGTTGTTGAAAAGTTGCTGAAAAACTATGAAAAACAAGTGCAATCTGAGACTGAATTTACTGAGAGCAGCTGCAAAAAAATGGGTCATTATCCAGTAATCCAGACAGTGCAAGGAAAGCAGGAGCAGCAGAAGAATTCAGTGAGACACCTTGGACTATACACCAAGCATGGAAAAGAGAAGCAGAAATTTCCTGAGGTATGCTTTGAACATGACATTAGTCTACTTTTAACTTCTTTAAACTGCACATGTTATTCTTCAAGAATTCTGAAACATATCACTGAGGTTGTTAATACTGGACTTCAGTACCTAAATCTGAATTCCAGTCATGAAGGTTGGTGCAGGACCTATGGGGGCTGATGCTGGTTGCCAAGAATCTTTTTCTGCTGCCATCCCATATCTCAAATTTACATCCAGGGTTGATGGCTTAGCGCCTGTACAGAAAACTGTCAAGCTGAGATTCAGGCATGACTATTATATCTTTAGATCCTTGGAGAGACACTGTCCTTGAGAAATGAATCAAGTGAGAATTCTGAGGTGTTCACTGAGCAGAGTGCCAATTTCCTCATCCTGGATTTAAGTGTGAGAAAAGGAAAGGCGTACTCTTTCCCATTAACCATCAAACTGTATAGAGGGGAGTGAGTGTAATTATTTTATTGTTTTACTTTACAGAACTTACAATCCCTCTTGTCAAGTCTCAAACAACTCTAGGCAATGTGCAATATCAAACACACAGAAAACTCAGAACAGTATCAAAAACAAAAATACAGAAAGGAAAGATAAAAATACACAACTCAAACACAAGATGGGAGCTCACGGTCAGCTGGGGTTCAGAAGTATAGAAATAAAGATAATGGTGGACAGATGAAAAGAAGGTTGAGAAAGTGACTTAATAGGCAGAGATTTAAGCAGGAAAGTGGTAGGAGGACACAGCAATGGAGATGAAGGGGTAGACGGTGAACAGATGTTCCTCCAAATCTTATTTATTATATCCTCACCACAATATTATGAGGTCATGCTGAAAGAGTAGCCAACTCAAGGTCATATAGCAAACTGTGTAGCTGGCCGTTAGAAGTTAAATAGCGGATAAATTTCTCATAGACAAACATGGTAAAAATCTTGCCCAGGTTTCTTTATTATTCCTCCCATGCAAAGAATTTTGGCCCCCAAATTCTTTAAAACTACAGCAGAGTTGTTGAACAGAGCAGAACCACACACAATCTGCGCCAGCTACATGAAGATGCAGAGTCCAATCTTAACGTGTATTTAAACAAAAATAGATCCAGGGGCCTATTTATTCTAAAGTAAATGCATAAAAATATTATAAATAGTGCATTCAGTTATGATAAGTTGTACAATTGACTATACACTGTCTTTCTTTGTGAATAAACTCACAAGGCTAGGCTGAAGGGATAATGCATTCCAATTAGTAATAGAATATTTCATTTATCTACAGCATTAACATAACATCTGTATTGTCCCACTCTTGGCAATCTTACAGTATAAACATTAATTCAATAAAGTAATAAAAACATTAATAAAATAGGCATGCTGCTCTCCCACTAAGTTTCCAAGGTCTCCAAGGGCTGCTTAACAATGAAGGCTTTTAAGAGCCCCTGAGAGGTAGAAGGACAGGGGGGCAACTCTCTTGGTCCCATAGAGTTGGAGCTACAGTCAAAAAGCCCTGTCTTTCTTCTGGTCTGAGGCCCCTCATTTCATGCTGGGGTGCCTTCCTGATCAGAGCCTTTGCTTGATGACTAACCTACCAGACAAACTCATTTTGGACAGATAGTCCCTAAAGTAGCCAACTCCCATTGGGCAACGTCCTATAGATCAATATCCCAGTTGAAAGGGCTTTCTGACCTACTCCATTAATCTTCCTACTCTTCCAAGTCAGTTGGATGGACTCAAAGGTATGTCCATGTGTGGGGGCAAGAGGAGGGTGATTGTGCTCACCAGCTCATGTATCACTGGATCAAGATATAGCAGTATCTAGTGGTGAACTGAGTGCTAAAAGGACTTGATAAATAATAGTAATCAACCAATGTTACAGATAAATAGAGTGAACTGGCATTTTTGATCAAGAATGTAAGTGCAGCATTTGGGAAAGTTAGTTATCATGAAGTAAGAGGTCATGAAGGGAAGGAACTCTCAATATTGTTTCTTTCCTGTAAAAAGAGGGCAACCGTTGACAGATCATTCACACAACTGGCCAATATTCTTTCCCTTTGCTGGCATATATTTATTTTTATTTAATATTTATTTAAATTGCAGTTCTGCTATTTCTCTGAGGAGAAATTACGGTGATTAAACCTGACCTTAAAATATAATCAGTGCAGAGAGAATTGCAGAAGTTAAAAGAAGCATCTGCTAAAACACAATTCTGCCTAAACTCAGGGACTTTTTTTGCTTATATGGAACGGGAAACTGAGCCTCTTAGGGTAGAACTGCGAGTTTCAAACAGCTGGGTGCTTAAAACTGAGCAAAGTTGAAAAGTATTTCATGCACAATCAACACTTTTGGGAATGATCTTCTACTACTGAAGTATACAGTGAAGGAAAAAAGTATTTGATCCCCTGCTGATTTTGTACGTTTGCCCACTGCCAAAGAAATGATCAGTCTATAATTTTAATGGTAGATTTATTTTAACAGTGAGAGACAGAATAACAACAACAAAAAATCCAGAAAAACGCATTTCATAAAAGTTATAAATTGATTTGCATCTTAAGGAGTGAAATAAGTATTTGATCCCTTATCAATCAGCAAGATTTCTGGTTCCCAGGTGTCTTTTATACAAGTAATGAGCTTAGATTAGGTGCACTCTCTTAAAGGGAGTGCTCCTAATCTCAGTTTGTTACCTGTATAAAAGAAACCTGTCCACAGAAGCAATCAGTCAATCAGATTCCAAACGCTCCACCATGGCCAAGACCAAAGAACTGTCCAAGGATGTCAGGGACAAGATTGTAGGCTGGAATGGGCTACAAGACTATTGCCAAGCAGCTTGGTAAGAAGGTGACAACAGTTGGTGCGATTATTCACAAATGGAAGAAACACAAAATAACTGTCAATCTCCCTCTGTCTGGGGCTCCATGCAAGATCTCACCTCATGGAGTTTCAGTGATCATGAGAATGGTGAGGAATCAGCCCAGAACTATAGGGGAGGATCTTGTCAATGATCTCAAGGCAGCTGGGACCCTAGTCACCAAGAAAACAATTGGTAACACACTACGCCGTGAAGGACTGAAATCCTGCAGCACCTGCAAGACCCCCTTGCTCAAGAAAGCACATGTGCAGGTCCGTCTGAAGTTTGCCAGTGGACATCTGAATGATTCAGAGGAGAACTGGGTGAAAGTATTGTGGTCAGATCAGACCAAAATCAAGCTCTTTGGCATCAACTCAACTCGCTGTATTAGGAGGAGGAGGGATGCTGCTTGTGACCCCAAGAACACCATCCTTACCGTCAAACATGGAGGTGGAAACATGCTTTGGGGCATTTTTCTGCTAAGGGAGAGGACATCTTCACTGCATCAAAGAGGCGAAGGACAGGGCCATGTATTGTCAAATCTTGGGTGAGAACCTCCTTCCCTCAACCAGGGCATTGAAAATGGGTCGTGGATGGGTATTCCAGCATGGCAATGACCCAAGACCCATGGCCAAAGCAACAAAGGAGTGGCTCAAGAAGAAGCACATTAAGGTCCTAGAGTGGCCTAACCAGTCTCCAGACCTTAATCCCATAGAAAATCTGTGGAGGGAACTGAAGGTTCGAGCTGCCAAACGTCAGCCTCGAAACCTTAATGACTTGGAGAGGATCTGCAAAGAGGAGTGGGACAAAATCCCTTCTGAGATGTGTGCAAACCTGGTGGCCAACTACAAGAAACGTCTGACCTCTGTGATTCCCAACAAAGGTTTTGTCACCAAGTACTAAGTCACGTTTTGCAAAGGGGTCAAATACTTATTTCGATCCTTAAAATGCAAATCAATTTATAACTTTTATGAAATGCATTTTTCTGGATTTTTTTGTTGTTATTCTGTCTCTCACTGTTAAAATAAACCTACCATTAAAATTATAGACTGATCATTTCTTTGTCAGTGGGCAAATGTACAAAATCAGCATTTGGGATCAAATACATTTTTCCCTCACTGTAGGTAGACAAATGTTTCTGCTTTGCTTGCTCTAAAAGTAGGTGGGAACCAGGTTTATTTTGGGAGTTTCAGGGCTTTTTGATGGAAGAAATGGTCCCTTAAACAACTGCTTAACTATGGCACACAAATTTCCCCCTTAAAACTCAAACTGCCCCAGATGTAGGAAATAAGATCTGAAGGCCAGAGAAAGGATGCAAGCAAGTCATAGAAAGCTTCCAGACTGCATCTTTGGGACTTCTGGTTAAGGATCTAGGCAGCCAGAAAAAAAATATGCATACTACAAAGCCAGAATCCTTCAGGGTGCAAGCAGCATGCTATTCTAATTATTTTCCTCAGATCCTCCACAGCTGATAAATACAGACAACTGTTTGGAATGTAAGCTTTTTTCATAGGTCTGCTATAAAAAAACGATGTTGATCTACCATTCTGTAGAAATTCAACTGAAAAAAAATAGAAATTAGGGTTTTTTAAAATTATTTTAACTGTAAAATGTACCCCGCTATTCCAGGAGGATAACATAGTTTTGATTAAGGCCAGAATTAATTGTAGTTATGTTGTTATAAATGGCATCATTCTTTTTTTATCAATATCCTCAAATTGTTAGAAAACAATATGGTATGGCTTTACCACTTTCTCCTTAGAAGCAGGAGAAAAATGGATCAGTGGCACTAATACTCTTAGAATAGATAACCCTTTTGGTATAACTAGCATATATAATATAATGAAAAATATAGTATTTGTGCATCTAGGAAAATGGGGTTTTAGATACCCTGATTATATGGATGGATGCTTGATTACTATGTCAAACTGCCGATATTAAACTTTCCAGAAGAGAAGCTCCAGAACTGAGTGTGATCTTCTGAGGTAAGAAGCTGCCAGCTCAGTTGTATTGAAACAATGATGATAATTACAAATGGAGAGAAACCAAAAAGTTTCTAAATTGCCTGTAAATTACCTTTGTAATATACATACAGTTATTTAGTGATTCCATGACTAACTTGTCATGGATATATACCTGGAACCTTAAAAAAAAAACATGTACAATCTCCTTGGATTGACAGTATGTTCAATATATAAACCTATTAGCAGGGCCAGCTTTAGACGAAGGTTAATCAGGCATTGATCTTAGAGGGCATCAATGCTGCCCATCCTTCCAAATTATTTTAAATATTCACATTTCTTCATTGGTAGGAGATGTACCATCGATCAATGTAGCT